CAGCATGGGGGCAGTTAGGGGTGACCAGATTGGCAGGGAGGACAGTTGGTGTGACCAGGCTGGCAGGGGGGTTGTAAGGGGTGACCAGACTGGTGTGTGGGGGGTGTATTTAGGGGAAACCAGGCCAGCGGGGGCGGGGGAGACAGTTGGGGGTGACCAAGCCAGCAGGGAGGGCAGTTAGGGGTGATTAGGCAGGCAGTCAGGTGAGCCAGTGGTCCTGAATTATGAGAGGGATGTTGGATTGGAGAGGGTGCAGGCTGGGCTGAGGGGGAAACACCGCCCCCCCACCCCCCGCACAAATTTCGTACACCAGGCCTCTAGTCTTATATAATAAAAGCCTAATATGCTAAATGTCCGATCGTCCAATCAGTCATTCAACCAATCAAAGTGTAATATGCTAATGATATGCTAAGGCCACTCAACAGCTGCTATGATGTTCACTGACCACCAGGGGGCAGATGCTCCAACCGGTATATTAGTTTGCTGTTGGGGTCCAGCTGATGGGGACTGAACAAGATGGGCCAGACATGCCTTGAAGCCCTCCTGCGGTCCCTCCCCAGCTGGCCAACCTCCTGAATTCTTCCCCAGCCTGGATTGTGCACTGGTGGAGTCCCTCAGCCTTGCCTGCAGCCTCTTGCATTCCAAAACCCATCAGAGGATGTCAGAGAGATGGTTTCAGCCTGATGGTAGAATGGCTGGCCACTATGACATGCACTGACTACCAGGGGGCAGACACTCAATGCAGGAGCTGCCCCTGGTGGTCAGTGAGCTCCCACAGGCTGGGGGAACGCCACTTAGTCAGAAGCCAGGCTCACATCTAGCGATTACCGTGGTGGTGGCAGGAGCCTCTCCCACCTCCACGGCAGTGTAAAGGATGTCTGACTGATGGCTCCCAGACTGCAAGAGGGCACAGGCCAGCCTGAGGGAATCCCGCCCACCTGAGTGCATGTATTTTGTTCACCAGGCCTCTAGTCTATAAAGCTTTTGCTGGTGCCAATTACACACATGTGTTTCGATCTGTCATTTGTCAATCATGCATTTGGTTGACACTTCTAAAATAGAGGAAGGGTGAATAGTGATATTTAAATATTTCTTCTAATTAATTTCCTTTCAATGTGCAAGAATTCTTGCACCAGGCCACTAGTAAGATTATAATGAAGCTAAAATATTCTTATTGCTTAGTGATTTTATAGCTGTCGAAACATAGACATCCTTCATGTTTGTGGTGATGCTGGTGTAAACAAACCTACTTGTTGCCAAGTGTATAAAAGCATAGCACATACAATTATATACAGTACATACTAGATAATAATAGTAAATGACTGTTACTGGTTTATGTATTTACTATACTATACTTCTTATTTTATATTATATTCTTGTTACTTATTAAAAAATTGCCATAAAATAATTTGCTGTTACACCAGCAGCCTCCTGCTGCTGGTGTAACAGCAAATTATTACATCTCATGTTTACCCCCATCTCTTGATTGCATCATTTTTTCTTGTGCTTCATTTAACCTCATGTTGTTTTCAAGTTTAATAAAAAGTACTTTCATCTGCTATGGATACATTTTTTTGATAATGTGAAAGGAACAGATACTCAGCCCTTTGGGGGAACTGCTCTTCAAAGGCAGTTTTTTAGGCAGCAGAGGTGTTGATACAATTGTTTTCCTTCTCAATGCCTGAAGAGCTCTGGAAGTATGTGAAGGATACTCTGGGCTGGGTAGCTTTGAGGACCACTGCCAGGATTCCCACACCCACTCACCCTATTATTGGCAACCTCTTCCTTTCCTTTCGTTTGCCTGGACTTGACTGTTTCTCAGAAAATGGGCAATGAGGAGAGGAGAGTGTGCTAGGGTCAGAAAGAGTGACAGCATCCACAACAAACACAAGTATAACCCTTACTACACAGGAATGAATGGAAATAAAGGAATAAAGCACTCATCTTAGTGCTTCATCAGCCATTATCTGTCAGGAATAAAAAAAATCCAGAGTCAAATGGGTCCTAGCTCTGTGGTTCACCAGCCCTGCATTTTTTGCTCGTTCAGAGAAAAAGCCTACATTTTCAGGCTCAACAGTTGCATCTACTATGGATAACAAAAAGTGTCTACTATCTCAACCCTCCAAAGATTACAGTGTTGGGACCGTCATTTGTGCTTTCTGTGGGATAGCTGGATAAAATTGGATAGCTAACATTTTAAGAATCCCTTAATTCTGCCTGGAATCCCTGTGCCTTGTAAATGCAACCCTCAAGGCCTAACTTGTTTCTTGAAAGTTCTTTCTGCTTAAGTCACTCCCCAATTTAAAACTTCAATAGCTACCTATTTTCACACAGGGGTGGGAGACATCCAGCTTGAGAAATCATTTGGTCTGGTCCTGCCAAATCTTTAGGAATAAATTAATTGTTTGACCAAATACAACAGGCTAATTTTCTATGGCTGAGAATGATGTTATACTAGTAAATATCCAAATAGCTCTTAGCAGAAAAAAGGTTCCCCACCCCTGCCAGGTATTCAGAAATCTATTGGTCTCAGGACTTCTTTCCATTCTTAAAAATTATTGAGGACCCCGAAGACCTTTTTTTATGTGCACTTAGTTACTTCTATCAATATTTACCATATTAGAAATTAAAACTGCCTTAGCCGGTTTGGCTAAGTGGATAGAGCATTGGCCTGTGGACTGAAGAGTCCTGGGTTCAATTTTGGCCAAGGGCACATGCCTGGGTTGCAGGTTCGATTCCCAGTAGGGGGATATAGGAGGCAGCCAATCAATGAATGATTCTCTCTCCTCATTGATGTTTCTCTCCCTCTCTCCCTTCCTCTCTGAAATCAATAAAAATATATATATTTTAAATTAAAACTGAGAAATTTCTAAAACTTTATTAATTTATTTAAAAATTTGCAATAAATAAACCCATTGACGTTAACATAAATGAACTTTAATGAAAAAAAAAATATATATATATATATAAAAGCCTAAGTGACTGGCCGACAGGCCAGTAGCTATGATGGGCCAGACACTCAATGCAGGAACTTCCAGCCGCGGTCACTTGGCAGCAGTGTTTCTCCAGTGATGTACCTGGAACCAGAGAGGAGTGAGCCCAGTTCCAGGGTGCGTCACTCAAGAATTGCCTTCTCACAATCCAGAACCACTCTGGGGATGTCAGAGAGCTGGTTTTGGCCCAATCCCTGCAGGCCAGGCTGAGGGACCTCACCAGTGCATTCAGTCTCTAATGTTTCATAAAATAAAATATTGATGAGAAGAGTGGTGTCATACATTTGTGTAAATCTTAACACCTGGCTTTACAAAAGATAGCTGGATTCTACTATCTGTTTCTGCCTTTAACCTGTTGCAATATCTTACTGTCCTATATTCTGTGGAAAGCCTCACTTACATTAGTGAGAGAATGAAACTGAAAAAGCACATGTTTAAAAAACATTGTTTAAAATTTTATTTTGAGCTCACTGACTCCTGGAAGGAATTCAGGTATACCAGGGGTTCTGGGACCACACTGTGAAAACCATTGGCCTACAGAATAAATTCTAAGTTAGATATACAAGGCATTCAATGTCATTATAGACATACAAGGACCTCCATGTTCTGGTTTCCTTTCCCCTTCAGCAGCATCACCGCCTAGTGTACTCCCACTACACCAGTCACGACAGCCAACCAGACGGTATCCTGTCTTCGTGCCTTTGCAAGCATCCCTTTCTCTGCCTGAAATTAGTTTCCCCTGGCAGACTCAAGAGCTAAATTCAGGAGCTCAGTTGGATCAGTTTAACCCTGGATTGCCCCCTTTGACCACTCTAACAGAGCTGAGCCCTCCCTGCAGGCAGAGCAGGGGCTCAGAAATCCGCGAGGCTGGAGATGAGCCTCCATCACTCACTCACTGGCTGGGTGACCCTTGGCAAGTAGGTTCACTGCCCACGCTTGTTTCCTCGCTGCTGAAGCAGGGCCAACCCGGGGTGGAGATGGCCGTGACCCAGAAGAGTGCAGCAAAGACTGCTACCGGCACCCCCCCCAAAATCAATCAATCAATCAATCAATCAATCAATCAATAAAATGACCGTGTGAGCTTGCTGAGTGGTTCTTATCCTTCCTGGGCTTTTACTTTCTTATAGATGTCCGCACAGTTCCGGGGGCTTGACAAGCATGACCTGGTCCCACTCTCTTCCCGTCCCTCTGGATTAAGCGCTATGTGGTCGGAGAGGAGGGCCCGGGGTGGAGGTGCGAGGTTACGCACTCAAGGTCACCCATCACACCGCCGGTCCCGAGCGAGGCGGAGGGCGCAGCTCTTCGCCTGAGGCTGCGCCTCCCGTCAGCCCGCCTGTGAGGCCGGGTCCCGGCCGCTCTCGGTTTCTCTCGTCGCCCTCGCGGACCCACGCGTGGCCTCGGGGAGGGGGGCCCGCGGCGGCGGGATTTGAACCTGTGTCCCCTAGCTCTCTTCAGGGCTGGGTTTACCCTAGCTGAGACGCCGCCTGGAGAGCGGGTCAGAGGCCGGAACCGCGTACCCCGGGCGGAAGGCGAGAGGCCGCCGGTAATGACGGGGCTCGGCCGCTCCGCGGCGCCCTCCCCACATCGCTCCACCCGCATATCCCCCGCCGCGCGCCCTCCTAACGGCTCCGGCGCGCGCCACCTCGCGACGGGCGGGGCGTGGGCGAGGCCTGAGAGCAATCGCCCCGCCCCGGGAAGCCCCGCCCCCTGGAAGCCTCGCTCCCACCTCCCCCGCCGCGCCCCCTCCTAACAGCTCCGGCGCGCTCCACCTCGCGACGGGCGGGATGGGGGCGGGGCCTGGGAGCAGCCGCCCCGCCCCAGACGGTCCCGCCCCCAGGAAGCCCCGCCCCGCCCCGACCCCACCTGCCCCGCCGCGCGCCCTCTTAACGGCTCCGGCGCGCGCCACCTCGCCAGGGGCGGGACGTGGGTGGGGCCTGGGAGCCTAAGCCCCGCCCCCATACGGCCCCGCCTCCCCCCGCCTCAGTGCTGCGGCCCGGATCGAGCCCCCCGCCGCTCGCCCGCCAGCCGCCCTCGGGAGCCGCCCCCACCCGCCCCTCTCGCGTCCTCCGTCGCTCCTGCGCAGGGGAAACATGGCGGCGGGAAGGGAGTGAGCGGTCCGTGCGGCCCCGCGCCCGCAGGTAAGCGCCTCGGCCGCTGCCTCCACCGGCCGGGACAGCCCGCTGCTTGAGGGGCCTGGAGGACCACGGCCCGCCAGGGCGGGGAGGCGACGGCGGGACCTGCCGGCCCTCAGCTCCCGCCCCGCGGGACCCGGCTGTCTGTGTCTGTCGGGGCCGGTCGGCCTGTCGGTGGTCCGAGCGAGCGCGGTCGCGGCCCTTCCCCACCTCGTCAGCCGGTGGCCGGTTCTGCGTCCGCGGCCGGGCTGGCGGGTCCCGGGGTCCAGCCGGCGGCCTGACGCGGCAGGAGGTCCCGGCCCGGGGAACCCAAGGACGGAGGGACCTTTGGAGGTTCGGCATCGCGGGGCGGGGGGTGCGAGAGTCGCCCTGCCCAGGCCCGAGGGGCTGGCTGGGGTCGGCTTTGAGCCGAGGGCGGGGACTCAGAGTGGTTGTCAGTCTGCGCGCCCGGTCCGTGGGTCTGCACGGACGCCGGAGCTGAGAGGTGCCGTGGGTCCGGGTCCGGGTCCGGGTCCGGGTCCGGATCCGGATGGAGGATCGGGTGGAGGACCGGGTGGAGGACCGGGGTCGGTGGTGCGAGGGGCCCCGAGCTGTCAGCAGCGTCCTCCAGGCCGGCTCCGGGGTCGGGAGTTGCGCGACGACTCACTGTGGCGCTGGAAACGGGCGGGAGTGTAAGTTTTGTACCGCAGACTATACATTAGCTATTTAATAAAATGTTTATAGACATTAAAAAAAATGAGGTGGGGGTGGGGGCGCTGGGCACCCAGGTGAGCAAGGTGCCAGGAGGGCTGGACACCTGGGCAGTGCTGTGGGCCAGCCCCGCGAGGAATGAAGAAGTTTCCAGGAGATGGCTGAAACCCAGAACACCTCCAGACTGGAAGGGAATTTAAAAGTGATCCAGGGTCCCTTTCTTCCATCCCAAGCTGAAGTGGCTTTGAAAACCCCAAATTCTACCGTTATAATTTGACCCACCTGTTTTTACACTTCCTCCAGTGATGGGAAACTAATCTCTCACCAAAGGAAACCCTTTTCTTTGTGGACACTCTTTAAGATACCTGAAGATGATAATCATATTCCTGGAGTCATGTCTTGTCTTCACGAATTCCAGTTCCTTCACTTGGTGATTATATGTTGGGGTTCTCTAATCCCTTCTCTGAATGATCTCTAGTTTGCCCATATCCCCTTTAAAGGAGAGCTTTTTTAAAAAAAATTTTTTAAATACATTTTATTTATTTTTTTACACAGAGGAAGGGAGAGAGAGATAGAGAGCTAGAAACATCGACCAGCTGCCTCTTGCACACTCCCTACGGGAGATGTGCCCGCAACCAATGTACATGCCCTTGATCGGAATCGAACTTGGGACCTTTCAGTCCGCAGACCGACGCTCTACCACTGAGCCAAACCGGCTTCGGCTAAAGGAGAGCTTCTTAATGTGAATGAGCAAGTATTAAGTTTCTCCAAGAAGCTCCTTGGCCCCAAGGATTGACCTGTTTAAATAAAAAATGCTCTCGTCCCTTCCTCATTTCTGTGCTGTTTTGATCTTAAAAACAAAACAAACAAAAAAGCAAAGACCCCATTTCCCCTGTTTCCCCGAAAATAAGACAGTGTCTTATATTAATTTTTGCTCCCAAAGATGCGCTAGGTCTTATTTTCGGGGATGTCTTATTTTCGGAGAAACACGGGTAGTACTGTTTGTTCGAACAAATGGGAAATGTTGGGTTTGCCCTCATTTTTTAAATGTCTATAAATACTTTATTAAATGAGCTAAAGCATATCAAAGTGTTGCAATATACCATGCAAATAGAATAATTTTTACTTTGAAAAAGGATTGAAATCTAGTTGGTGCCAAACTGCAATTTAATATTTAGTTGGAAAGGGAAATGCTTTATTATATTGAATTTTATACTCTATTTCTAAACTGCCAGCAGACGGCCCAAAATTACTATGAAAAACATTTTTTGTTGCTCACTTGCCAGCATTAATTTTTACTTGCTTTTTCACTACTTAGCCATGGTATGGGGTTAAGTTTTTAAAAAGGGTCTTTTACCAAGGTCTTAAACCCCTGCCTATGCATCCCTGTTGGTTAGTAATTTTTTAAGCTCAGAAGAGCTTTGATGGCCTTGTAGATAAAATGCCAAGCTCTTGTATCTGGGACTCTGTTCTAGTTCTAAGCAGTTTTGCTGTTTCCATAACATAGACAAGTACATACTACCAGAAATCAGAGTTGTTTCTTTATCCTTATACATACATGTTCATTTTTTTAAAGTTGTTTAGTGGTTTTGAAGTTTGTAGTGTATGCATCAAGTTTTGATTCCTGGTATGTAGGTTGGATAAAAATTTGTATAACATCATTCTGCACATAACTGTACAGACCCAGGAAAGGTTCTATCAATAGTTCTTTCCCTTCATAGAACTTGGAGTTAGTAGTAGGAAATCCTGAAAACTGTGAGTGGATATCTCACTGAAAATTTAAGTTGAACATGTTCTAACCTTTATATTTATGCATCTACTGTTGTGTCAGCACTATGCCATATATTGTGTTTAGCTGGATCTACAAATATGAATAAGATACACTTCCAATCTTAGTTCTAAATGCTAAGTTCCAATCTTAGTTCTAAATACTATTAGTATACCTCAGAATAAAAAGTAAGAGCTATGCATATAGTGCTTAAAGTTAGAGTGCTAGCCTAGGACTTAGGAGAAGACTTTGGGAACAGATGAAATCTCACCCAAATCTTTAAATGTTAAGGAGGAGTAAGGCAAATTTGAATGAAAAGTGTGCTTCAATCAGAGAAAACGGCTTGAGGAAAGTCACCAATGTGAGAAAAGGAATAGCTTGCATGGATAATCACAAGCAGTTTGGGACTGCTGAGAGTATAACAGTGAAGATGAAAGTGGTAAATTGTGAGGCTGGAAATACAGGCAGAGACCATATGGTAGAGTTTGTATGTATGAGTATCTTGAAATTAATTTAGTGATGGATTTTTTTAAAAAATCACTGAAAGGTTTTTATCAGACATGGTTGAATAATATCTTTGAAATGTGATCACAGGGATGAGGAGAAAGGAATGGAGGCTTTATGATTGATTGGGTATGCAGATGACAGAATGAGGGGTCCGGCATGATAGCCAGGTTCTTTGTCAGGGTGACTAGGTGGATAGTGGTGACATTAACTGAGACAGGAAACACTGGATGATGAGGTCAGTTTTGGACTTAAAGATTTTGTGAGTTTTTGAGTTAGGTCAGTGAGCAAATGTGGTGGAAGTAAATTAGAAAAAAGGAGGTTTTGATCAAAAAGTGGAATATTGGAGTTAAATTGTCTGATATGCAGGTCTCTGTGTGGGTATCTGGAGTACAGCAGAGGAGAAGGTCAGTGAAGCTGAGTATGACAAGGAACTCTGAGGCTCTTTTATTAAATGAGTCTTATGTGTGGATTGCGAAGTGATTTAAGATGCTGGAATGTGGGGAGGAGAGAATATTGTGAGCCAGATGCAGTGAATATAGGTGATTCATTGGGAGGGTGAGTAGATAACAGATGAGAAGGGTAGAAAGTGATATAGCCAGATGGTATAAACCTCACAGGAGGAGGGGTTTTTAAACACAAGAGTGGGAGAATAAAGTTTTTTGTTTAACTTTTCTGGAAGCAGACTCTTATTTCTTCATCTTTATTTGGGATTCATGTTAATCACTCAGTTTGCTCTGAAGAGTCTGTTCTTAATCTTGGAAAATAGGAAGGCAAATACTCTATATCAAATCTTTTCTGCCAGTACTTAATGGCAAAGGCTATGGAGGTTTTTCCTGATGATTAGTGGGTGGATAGAGGAAACAATCGGATCTATCTGGACTATGTCACTTATTGGCCTAAGAATTGTAAGCAAATTGTTTAACCTCTGAGACTGTCAGTGTCCTCGTCTTTAAAAAATAAATTCCTATTTCATAGGGTGCCACAAAGATTATAAAAATAATGTGTGTGTGTCTAAATTACTAGAAAAGCAATTGATGCTTTGTAGATGCAAAGTAAATGTTAAAATATTTGTTCTCTTCCAACTACCTTTAGGGGACTTTCACCTCTGCTGGGGGAAAGAAATTTTTTTTTTTTTCATGCTAAACCTAAATTATAAGGCAATAAGTACTTATGGGAGATATTATAAAAGCAAAATGATATAGGAATTCAGAGGAGGGTGCCATCATTTTTAACATTTGGAAACAAGGTTGACATCACACTCAAGATAAATTTCATTTGGGTCTTGGAGAACAAATTTCAATAGTTTAATGATTTAGGTGAAGATACAAAGTAGGGAAAGTATAAGATATGTTTGTTAAAAAATGGTAGTCACCATAGGTTTGAGTATTGTATTTGTGTAACTCAGTTGTGAGAAATGTGGCTAAGGAGATGGGCTGAGGCCATCGTATTAAAGACCTGAAACTATGGAATTTGGACTTGATTCTAGATGTACTAGAGAGGTATAGATAGTACATCTTTTCTCACTACCTGTTTCCTAACTGTAAAATTTATAAGCATTGATTAAAACCAAGGAAGACATTTCACATTCAGAAATGTTTCTATGTAGGCCAAGTTTAGGTTAAACACATAAGTGCTAAGCCCGGCCAGCATGTTTCAGTGGTTGAGCATTGACCTTGAGAACCTGGAGGATACAGTTCAGTTCCTGGTCAGGGCACATGCCTGGGTTGCAGGCTCGATCCCCAGTGTGGGGCTTGCAGGAGGCAGCCAATCAATGATTCTGTCTCATCGTTGATGTTTCTATCTCTCCCTTTCCCTTCCTCTTTCTGAAATCAATAAAAATATATATTTTTAAATAAGTGCTAAGATTTGTTTTGTAGTTTAATCTTTGCACTAACCTTGTTTGGTAGCTAGGCTTAGTGGAGTTAAGAAACACAAAAGATCTCACTGGTAGAAATTGGCTAAAGATGCTCTGATTTCAAGTTCTTTTTTTATACTACCATAGTGACTTAGATTTGGGAAGAAGCCTGGGTTTCTCATTAAA